CATCATCGTTGAACAGGGTACAGTACTTCTCACGCACACAAAGTGCACGGTTGCCCGCTAAGAAACGAAGGATCCCTCTTCATGATTACACAGGATTTTTCTTGACAACACATGTGTCCCCTCATGAAATTTTTCTCTCAACGCCTCATATTCCAACCTCTGCACTGGGCAATCCGCAAAAGAAAACGGTACCTAGCAGCAAAGACATTCCCTCGCTCCTCACGCCACTGTTAGCACCGGACGTCAGTGTTTCGCCTGTATCCTTTTTTGCACTGCTATGCAGAGCGAGACGTCTTACACGGACGAGAAGGGAGAGAAGATGAGCCCCGAAACTCTGAGACAGCTCCTGAGGAAAGCCGGATCCCCGGAGCGGGAAGCCCTCTTGCGAAAGCTTGAGACCAACGCGCGTCAGACGTTCAAGGTGCAACATGAAGGGAAGGAAACACAAAGTAAAGCGATCCCTCTGTGGAATCGGGGAATGCAACAATGCCTTTAAGATGTCAAACCTGGCCAGGTGGGAGGCCTGCAGAAGCAAGACAAAGGATTCGGTAGTGTGTGCCTACGCGACTGTTCTCCCGCCTGCTGTTCCTAGGCACAGCGAATACCGAAGGAATTAAAAATCAGCAGACAGGAACGGGAATAGCGCAGAAAACCTGCATCGGGCACGGACATTGAAAACCAGGACTCCAGCCTAGACAGTTGTATTGCGTGCAATACCCTGAATGTCCAGGTCGGCAAACTCAACCTGGTGGATCTAGCGGGCTCCGAGCGTGTGCGGTTGTCTGGCGCCACTGGGCAGCGTTTGCGAGAGAGCAAAAAGATCAACCAGTCGTTGTCGGCCCTTGGGAATGTCATATCGGCGCTAACCGACCACCGGGGCAGGCAGCACATCCCGTACCGCGATTCGAAGCTCACTCGAATCCTAGAAGACAGGTGAGTAACGAGCTGTTGGCTTCGCATTCTCCCTCATCACAACTAGCTCTGAGCGTCGACGAGAGCGTCAGATCCACATGTCAGAGTTTGGTTGCGCCTAGGGGTTAGGGTTTGGTCCGGCCTGGCGTACCCAACTGCACGCCGAACCTGCTGATGTACCAACGATGCTGATTCCCTTGTCGCTCTATCGTCCGGCTGCGAAATCCCCGTGACCACGAAAGCCTCGGCGGAAACTGCAAAACGACCATGATGGCAATGATTAGCCCGGCGCTGGAGAGCATGGTAGAGACCCTATCGACAGTGAAGTTCGCGAGCAGAGCCAAGAACATCAAGAACCAGCCCATCGTCAACGAGGACTTCGACCAAAAGGTGTGCCAAAAGCAAACTGACGAAAAATTCAAAACCAATCAACCCCCTGTTCCCCGGACGCCCATCTGTCGTTCTATCGGCCGTGAGCCAATAACATGCGAGCTCTAACCCCGCCCGTTATACACCACAGTCGTTGCTGAGGAAGTACGAGAGAGAGTTGAAACGCCTAAGGGCGGAGCTCGAGGAGCGAAGCCGCAACTTGGTGGACAAGCGGCAGCTGCTGTTCGTCGAGGGGGAGAGGAGGCGCGCAGAGGCTGATAAAATGGCCGCAATCCGGGCGCTTGAGGTGACGGGGGTTTTCTTCTTGTTGTTCAAGGGGTCTCATCTGATCGTTTTTCATTCCGCAACCAGTTTCCGTGTGTCTCTTTCTCTTGTTGTCGTTTGCTCAAGAACGACGCCGAGGATCCCAAGAACGATGGCGGCATCTATCCCACCCGGAATGGCTTGCTCTCATACACCTTCCTTGCTCCCACCGGGTAATAGACACGATTGAGCGATCACAGGCCCAGCCCTCCAAAACGGAAAAAAAAGTACCATTGCAACCAATAACGAACACTCCTGTTGCCAAAACAACAGAAACTAACCAACGCATCAAGTAAGACATGAACTAGGGCAGTTCAAACACCTACTTGCTCCGACTCTTCTTCAACGAAGTTCACTCTCCGAAGGCAGACAGCTTGGAGAACTACCTGCGAGTCCTCATTGATTTAGTCACGCACGTTCGTCGCGTTTGCATACATCCAGGAACGCTCCTTGGAGTTCCAGCGGGAGAAGGAAGAGAAGAGGCTCCTGGAAGGGCGCATCGCAATGCTCACCGGCCAAATGATCGGGAGGGGCAGACGCTCAGACGGCGGCACTGAGGGGGTGGTGAGAGACATGCCCAGGAATTGGGCTAAAGGCGAATGGTTTCCTTGCCTTTTTGTCGCAGCGCGGGTCATTGCCGAGGTCCCTAGTTGAAAACCTTTCGCATGGGAATAAACTATCAACTATTTGTACACGCAATGTATGGGTTGCGGGTGGGCAGAAGCCAGGAGCCGACCGTATTGTGTCGTGACCACAATAAACAGCATGCTGTAGATGTCCTGTCGTTCCGCAAGCGTCATAATCGAAGATAGCGCAGGTGCACTCTTCAAAGACGTTCTTTGTTGTGCTATCGTCTACTCTTCGCGGCGTATGATAGGACTACGCCGACCGCTTAGCGGACCTCGAGCGAGAGCGCAACACCATTGAGCTGGAAAAGGAGCAGGTGACAATATGCCTGAAAGTTCTTAGCGTTTTTTTCATGTTATTGTTGGTGGTGTTTTTTTTTAGATCGCCAATGACGAAGAAAAACTCGTGTGATCCTATCCTTGGCTCCCTCTACATAGGGTAGGAACGTAAGAATGCAGTTCCGCAAGGAGGGTCTAACTATCGGCTAGGACTATGTAGCGCCAGCAGGGCTTCGTATGGTCGACTTTCAGACTGCTATAATATGGAATCTGCAGGTGGTCAAGATGTTTCTAAGACCCAAGCAACTAGAAAGAGGAAGATGTTTCGACCCACCGAGTTGCTGCAAGTTGTGGATGGGACACTGCGCCCCACGTCTCCCTACGAAATGCGGAAGGTCTGCTGATCGGTGACGGACCATTTCGTCCGTGTGCCCTCACGCCCCGCACCGGTTGTTCCCCCCTCTTGTGATGCTACGGGACACGGTCCGCCGACAGGTGGAGAGGTATAAGCAACTGCTCATGAAACAAAGAGACATCATGATAGCCTTAACCCAACGCCTGAACGAGAGGGACGATGCGGTGAGCTTGCAGGAACTCCGGCAACATGCTTGGTTCCACATCTTTACAAAAAGAGACCAACAATGCCGCCGGACCTGAGATTTTACCTTTCATGGCGGTGTGCGAGGTCTCGTGCTCAGCGTCCCGAAAGTCGGTTAAGAGCAGCATTGGGACCACGTCTCGGCAAACTTCAATGTACACCTCCCGGTGCATCGTCAGGGTCGGATTTACATGCGGAAAAAAACAAAATACTGTTGGCTTCTGTCATCTTGACTTCGCCTACTCTTCTCACACTGCTCTCTACGTCTACCGCTTTTGTGGGAACGAGAGGAGACTTGCTGCAGCCGCAAAAAAAATCCGTCTTTCATCCGCCTAGAAAGAGAAATCTTTCCAATAGAACGGTATTATTTTGCGATTTCTCAAAGGCAAGCGGTCACCTCGACCAAGGGAACAAACTCGTGGATGGTATTGCTTGCTTATCAACCATGCATGGACAAGATGAGTCTTCGACCGGCCAGCCGCCGGCGATCCAGCACATGCAGCCTTATCCCGGTCTCTCTCAGAGAATAACCTGAATTCTCCTGCGGTTGTCGTGCCTTTCGTGTTCTCTTGTCTTGTCACAGATTTGCGCCCTGAATGACGAGCTAGAGGCGAGCGAGAGTCACCACGAGGTGCAAACAATAGCACGGAAGGGTAGAATGTATGCTTTGCAGCATGTCGCCTCTAAGCGCGGTACTCAGACTCCGTTCGTTAGGTTGTCACGGGAATGCGGCCAAGGTATCATCACATTTTCTGCCCAAGTTCTTCGTTGCACTCTTTACAAGTGCCATCAAACGGAACGGCGGAAACCTTGGCATCTACATCCACCATGAAGAACCATTTTCCCCAACCCACCGTTCTTGTGACAACAGTTGATAGAGGATGCGCTTGACATGCGCACGCAACAGTTGTTCCACCTCCAAAAGGCATTAGTGATGTACGGCGGCAACGGAGCGGAAGGCGGAGACAGTGGTGACGATCAGGTGTGTGCCACACCTTCGGGTGCATCCACCTCTCCGGGCCACTCGGATCGATCGAATTTTGGCAGACGGGTACGAGAAGTAGCTAATGCACGTAGTGGGCTTTTCTGGGGGGGAGACGTGGTGTTGTGGCTTCTTCCGGCACACGTCGAGGGTTCCACGCCGTATTTTCATCAGCATGCACCAAATTGAATCGTCTCCTCCGCTTCATGTTCTCATCGCGTGTGGCCTAAACAGAAGTCACGTGGGTGGATAGACTCACCTGGGGCAGCGGCAGCAGCCACAAGTGTTGCGACAGGGTCGGACAAGTTTTTGTCAGTACGCCCGGTACTCCACAATTGGCAGCAGCAGCAGCAGCAGCAGCGTCCTTCGACCGCTCCCCAATCGTCTTCCTCCTTCTCTTCCGGAAAAAGCTCAAATGTCAACTTCGAGGCACCAGAACCGACGGGGGGAAGGAGGGGTGGAGACGCTGGAGTGTCCTCCTCGACAACGCCAACAGAGCTACATAACCGTTCGGTTAGCGGTAACACCATCTCCTCACCCAATGGCAGCACCACCAACGGTAGCGCTACCCCAGCAGCTGTATTCGGAGGCAGGGAAGAAGCTCACCACTCCCCGTTCGAAGAAGACCTCATTACCTTCCCCAGGTTCAAGCCACACGCGCTGATGCAGCCTACGTTGTTCAGCACCGACGACCCAGCTGGGGGGGGTTCCTTTCACGATGGAGGCATTCTTTCAGGTGGGGATGGCGAACAGGGAGGCGAAGGCGACCGTGGGGGCGGGGGTGGAGGCGCTGGGCGGGTAGAAGCGCTGAAGAGGGCGGGGGCGGGAGGTGCAAAATTGCTGAACGCTTGGGAGAAGATCGAGGAGCTGGAAGGGCTGGTAGAGTCAAGCCGGTCTCACAACGAGAGGTAGGGGGGGGCAGTCCGAGCCTTCGAGCAATCTTGTTAGAGCTTTTCTTGCATATCGAGGTATCTTCGATACCATATTGATAAAGTTATTTTGGTGTCGATACCAGAGAGTGTCACCGGGTGGTGGATGGTAGGTTAACAACATTCCTGAGTTCAGCTTTCTCATGCCGTAGCGTCATACTTCTGTGCAAACAGTGTCTTTCCCTCCATCACCGCAGGTTGCTCGAAGACCTGGAGGAGGTACAAACCGACAAGGTCTCCATGGAATATCTCCTTCGCGAGAAACTGGAACGGCTGGTTCAGTCCGAGATCGAGGCGCGAGTTGCCCGAATGCATCAGGTACGAACCAGCGAGCATTTGCCGCTCGGTGCCTTCACTACGGGGAGTGTTTATCTCGTCCGCGCTTGCAGTTGTCGTCTGCCCCTCGCTCACGTATTTCATCGCCGCTACTGACGTGCCACAGACTCGGGACTGCGTGTGTCAGAAGTTCGGCAACGAAACGCGATCATCGATGACGCTAAATATTCTTCTTGCGAACGTTTAAAGCCGAATGATCTGTGCTCTGAATTCTCTCGCCTCTCCCAACAGCATCTGCCTCCGAAGTCTGAATCGCGTTAAAACATTCAGACAATTACCTTCTTCGAGCAGATTTCAGCCAGATAACTAGTCGCCCCACCCCCCCTTCCCCGCGCGCTGGATCTCAAGGATGGCGGAGTTGACGAAATATTGCGGCGCCAGCTGGACGGTCTACGGGTAGAAGCTGCCGCAAGGGCAAGGAGCGAAGCTGTTCTGAGGGAGGAAATTCGTTGTCTCAAGAGCAGGTAACGTGACCGTCGAAGGCGTCCATTTGGATTGGGTTTGATAAATCCCTTCGCTCACTATACAAAGCAAGGCAGACTGCTGAAAATTACCCGTTCGCGGCCTGTTGCACAGACTGGTGCCCCGCACGTTGCGAACTGCCTTGCCTCGATGATTTTCGGTTCATGAGTGTCTCGTCGCCGGCTTTGGGATATAATGTACCAGTCAATGTTGGAACTGGTCACCGGTACTGAAAAGGTAGCACAGGCAATTAATTTACAACACTTCTCGTTGCAGTATTGTCCGAATGGCAAGACCAGTTAACCTTCGCGAAGCTGTGGTGTGCAGATCATCTGTGATGTTCTTATCGATGGCGTTTTGGAACATGCTCAACACAGCGCACTCGCGCAACGCCCTCTTACGGAGCGCCAAGGGCCGGACGATGAAGTCGCGACCGAGGTCCTAGCCAGGACTACTCAGGAGCTCGAGGAGCTTCGCTGCGAGAACGCGGAGTTACGAAAGCAAATACTTTCTCCGGCTTTGCGGCGCGAGGTGAGCAGCACGACCAGGGTGTAGCATCGCAAACAACCTCGCGAGGATGCGTCTGGGAATGATCTTGTACCGTTGCTCTTCGTAAGTTCTTACTCGTCTACCCGATCACTCATTTCGTTAAGACGCGGAGGCACAGGCGACTCGGGCCAGGCTTCTCTCATTGACTACAATAGGACGAGAAGGTACTTTCCTTCGTTTTTTTTTACCTTGCAGTGTTTTCGGAGAAACACCGCGCACTGGTTGTTTTCTCGGGCGATTGACAAGGAAGGCGAGCTCCCTCTTCCACTGAAACACGCAATCCAGTCTCGTCTTGCATGAGCGTCATTTTCTTGGGAGAAGTCGGACTTCCCAACAAGCTTACCCCACGTACCCCCCTTACGCTGGTGTTTGGTCCATCCATTGTGGCTCTCTCTTCGGCGAGGCAGGACGCTAACAGTATGTCTGAGAATCGAGAAGCGGGCAAGGAAGGGGAAGACGACCGAAGTAGCGTTGCTCATGACAGCGCCCAGGAAGCGGCGCTGCAGGACCGTTGTGAAGCTTTGCTAGGAGAACGGAAGGCGATGCAGGCAAGTTTTGGGAGGAAAGGCACCAAATGGTAAATGACTCGTGGGGGAGCAACGCGTAGGCAGCATTGACAAAATACTTGATGTTCGGAGAATATGCCTGTTGGAACACCATGTTGCAAAGGTGGAGGAAATATTCCGGTAGAAAATGATGTTACCTATTGCAATGGCGCGGTAGGGTGGCCCCGGGGTTGTTCTCAGTTCTGATTTCACACCGTTGGAACCCCCCAAAAGGCTGCCCCCACCCGTTCGTCAATCGCGTATGTCGTTCGCCGGAGTTAACTCCACAGGTTATTTGAGCTGGGCCCCATCATGGGTGTGCGCGGCATCCCTCTAGTCTGGAGTTTGGAAGAAGAATACATATATCGCGAAGGGTTTTGTTGGCAGCACCGGCAGCCGAACAGTAGCTGTGTTGCTTTTTCAGTGGTTGGCCGGGGAGTCGAATTGCGAGACCGCAAGTTGTTGACTAGCGCCGTAAGCACAGCACACGAGAGAGACGGGACAAACGTGGGCATACCCACCCCTTACAATCAAAACTAGGTAAAACCAACCAGTCCAAATCCCATTGTGATGCCTGCGCAATGCGGTCAGGGCCCATGTCCAGCGCGATCCCCAACCTTGCCGATCTTTCGGCTACATCTTCAGGCCATACGCCACCTTTACAGTCGCAAACACCTACGACCTTGCTTTAACGACGTTTATCTAGGTGGACACTCGCTTTGAAGACGTTATTGTCCGCTTTTGGGCACCGAAAGTCACTCTCCATAGCACCGCACGGCAGAGCATCGAATAGCCTTGTGACTACTCCAGAATGTTTCCGCCGCATCTTTTGCATCGAAAACGCCGTCCGGCGAGTGTCGGTTTACCCAATTTTGCTTCCTTCCCAATCAACGGCTCTGTCGAATATTTGCGACGACGACGACCCCATACAACGAAGCCCGCCTCTCCGCTGACGTCGTCACTTTCCACCTTTCCCTCGCGTTTTTGTGTCAGACCATCATGGAGCAAAAGGTGCAGGTGCTGGTGGACAACGTGGCCGACTCCGCATGTGCTGTTCTCGACCTCGTAGCGGCCTCCCAAAGTGGTATCGACAACCGCCGTGGAGGTGATGGTCATACTGGCAGTACTGATCACGCGCAGGTAGTACTGCCATCGCCATCCTCGGCTCCGGCTGGAGGAACCGGGTCGACAGGCGAAGGTGAAGTATCGAGAGCGGGAACGGAGTCCTCGTCGTCCCCAGCCGCTAGAGAAGCAGCCGGTAGGGCACTAAGCAAGGACGTGGGCCAGCTGAGGAGGCTGGTTCAAGCTGCCATAACAGCGCTAAGAAACGCTGATGCGGAGGATCAGCAGCAAGGCATAACGGCGACGGCTTCGTCTCCGCGCAGTGAGGAACACGACCGGAAAACCTGATGTAGGCTCGCAAGATTTAGGCTGAAGGGCAGGGTGCGGAACAGAAATGGTCGCTGTGCTCTCACGACAGGCGGAGCTGCATTTATTTCTCCTGGGGCTTCACAATCATGTTGCCGCCTAGACGTTGACAAGGCCTCGAGTGCCGACAACCACACCTTGACAAACGGACGGGTATGACGTCAAAACTCAACGTCCTGTATGGCAAGGTACAAAGAGGTCTAGGCTCTCCACAGGGCTAACATTGTGGCACTGGGGAGTCTTGGGCCGCCAGTTACCATCGAGGGAAATGATGTGCACGAACGCTGACTTGCAATTTAGATAAAATTTCTCTTGCAGAAACGTTCAGCCGCCTTGGTACAAGCTCGTATCCCCTGAATCAGCATGTTAGTGTCGAGGGGCTGCTCGAATAGAGCGAGTGGGGCGAGGAAAATGTGTGGATGGAGGAGGGTATGTTGTGGCTTCACCCCCCCGACACTGATTTGGATACTGTTGCAAATGGCCGGCCATATTATTCAAGGCGCGGCCTTGAATAGGCCGCTTGAGGCTCCCCGCCGACCCCCCAAAACACTCGCTCTACTGAAAACACATACTAATAGTTTGGAGGTCCACTTTGCCCATGCCGCCCCAACATCGCGGCGGGCGCTCATGGAGAGACATTCCGTTGAGCGTGGCGTTGACGCCGCAAAACGTTTTGCTTTGGTGGTCTCCTTTTCTCAGGAGCCATTCATTGTATGCATGTTTCACTGTAGATCGTTCCGCCATCCAGCAGTATGTCCCGCGACGTTCGGACGTCCCTCTAGTGAGCATCGTAGGAATGAATATTGCTGCCTGCCTTGCCGGCCGGTTTAAGCGTTGTGAAAAGTCGAAATTCAGCCACAGAAATAGGCCATGGAGACAAATGCAAAATGCATATCGTAACAAACTCGTCGACATCCGCTTGTTATTGATCTTTTGACCTTGGCACTCTAACATAAACCTCGAGCTCTGGTCTAGGGCCACACAGGAAAACATTCCTCCCCCAGTGCAATGTCGCAAGAGGGTCCGGCCACAGAATACAACAAAACGACAAGTTTCTACGGATGATGCACGTGTGTTTGCCGCCTTCACGTGGTTGGCGGCGACAATCTCAATTGAATCGGCCCCCGGTAAGTTAGGGAGTAGCGGCGTTTTGTCTCGTCGCCGTTCTGTCGCGCTCTGCATTTTTAACTGCTCCACTACACGACACAATGTTACTCGTTGATCCCACGTGAGTGAGGCCCTGGTTTACTCACAGCACATTCATTGCCATTGCTGTTCGCGCAGGGATGGTACGCGTAGCGCTTGACACACTCTGACCTGATGTCTGACGGTCACGTTGTTCATTTCAGCGATGACCTGCCGCGGCATGTAGATGGATCGGTTCAACTCTTTAGTGTACTTCTGTATCTCGAATGAACACCCACCTCGCCCCGAGAATTCAACAACAACAACTCCACAGCCCACTCGCACCACCATTTGACATCGCCATCCCACACCAGAACCAACTCAATTGACGAGGTTGTACGTGGATCCAGCGTGTACGAGACAACTGTGGAAAAGGATCGCGTGCCCAGGCGGAGTAGTTATCTTGTGCGCGTCTTTCCGGTGAAAGCTGTCTTCTTTGTCAAAGTCCTTGTGACTCCCGTCGATGACATGCAGGAAATCTTGGTCACGAAATACGAAGATTCCAGAGTAGGGTGCCGATTGGCGGACTTTGCGCTGACCTTCGCCGTGCAGCCGGTGCCCGACGGCAGACCCGAATTGGTCCTTAGTGAAGCATTTGATTCTGCTTTCCAGCGGCGCTGAGGAGAACAGTCATTTTTTCGACATCCACTTCGTCGCTGAGCCCATAGTCCGTGGCTTGCAACACAAATGCCATCGTTCCGCAGCCTCGTTCGCACCGGCTGCGAATCCATCTCCCAGCCCCTCCGCGGTGACGTCAATCATCCACCCCTTTGCGAGTCTACAGCAGCATACCTGTTCATCTTGCTCACATTAAGCCCCCCCTCATCGTCCTTCGGATAGAAATTGTTCAACCCATCCTTCATCTTTTCCGTTTCGGCGGGGGTGCAAACAGGGAATACCAAATACCCCTGGGCATGAAGGTCGCGGTATGCCTTTTTCCCGTACTGCGTGGCTCTGAAATCATCGATCGCCAATCGTTCCATGCCGCGCTGCTGTCCCGATAACCCTTGCTCCGCTTTACGGGCATTCAGCAAACCCGATCGGAGACCCTGCACTGCTTACACAGCCATCTCCTCGGTGCAGGCTTCCGTCCCACCGTGTCCCGGTACAGTCACGGAGGCAGCCTGCGCCAACGCCCCGCCATGTCCCGGTACAGGCATGGACTCAGCCTGCGCTACCGTCCAGCCGTGTCCCGGTACAGTCACGGAGGCAGCCTGTGCAAACGCCCCGCCATGTCCCGGTACAGGCATGGACTCAGCCTGCGCTACCGGGGCAGCCAATGCTTGCTGTGCAACCAGGCCACCCGCCAAGCTTGGTTGAGCATACGGCACTAGAGGTAAAAGCGGGTAGCCTATCGGGCAAAACGGGAAGCCCCTGCCGAGCGCGAATGGTGGATACCCCGGCAACGTCTGTTGGAACAACGGCAGCCCGGAGACACCAGCAGGGAGCAACACGACCCTCCGTGCAAGCCAGCGCGAAACTGCTGTCCATAGGGTGTAGCGTTGGCCTTGAATTGCATCGCCACAAACAAACAGGCGCAACAAAAAAGACACGACTCAAAAGTCAGCGAAGCGAGTGGTGAAGTATGTTGTGCCATTCTGTGCGGGCTCAGATATTAGTCTCAAAGAAAATAAAAAAGAATCGATGTAAAAACAAATTGAAGTTGTTTTAATCCGCGCGTCTTTCTGTACCTATTAAAAATTAGGAGCTTTATAGCTTATAGCGATGCGAAAATCAGTGGGCAACCGCATATTTGACCTTCGAAACCGCAAGGGGGAACACTGAAAATGAAACGTGTCCCTTGCAATGAGGATAGTCGATTTCTGTGCACCTTTCATGAAAACTCCCATACACCCAGGTGACAACGGAAAAATTGGGAATTCTGACAAATTCCGCTGAACCAGAAATCTGCACTTACTTCAAAGAGCCAGCCAGCCACATCTATCTGCTGAGAGGAGCACGCACGCATGCAGTCATTCCGTTTTTAGCTCAGCCACCCACCTCTCTTGGATTGCGGAGCTAGCCGGCATTTCGGATCCAGCCGTTGTGCGATACTAATCATCTCCGATAGGACTTGGGGAGGACGGACTGTAAAGCTGTAGTAGCATACTGCACTGCGTTTGCTCCTTGCTGCTGCTCTGGGCTGATCCAGGACTCCGAAAAATCCCCACAGGTACGAACAAACTCCTTTATGTGTGGTCGAAGGATGGACTTCGCTCCTTTGTGTGTGGTCGAAGGATGGACTACGCTATGTACAAGCCCAACATGCTACAATGCACAACACACTGCAGCTGCCTCACCTGTCGCCGCCCTCCACGTCTACCTGTCCATGACACATGCTGTCAACTGATGATGCGACAACACCTGGGTACAACACGGACACAGGGAGTACTCCCCCTGCCCATACACCGTCAAAATTACCTACAAACTAGAACAACCTCCCATTCATTCCTCTCATGCCAAACACAAATGATGTAACATACATGAAATGATAGACCCTGTCTTTACTTGTGGTCCACGCTGCCTACTATTATAATGGGAGAGGTAGCTATACCTTTTGCCTACACACGGGCGAGATAGGTAACCATACCCACTGCATTTAACACACACACACATGTCGGTGATGAAACCTCAACCACACGCCTCTATCGGCGACCACGTCAGGAGGCAGTGATGAAAGAATGAATGTTCTCCCGTGCCATTTGCACATCTATAACAACACGAAATATTACACAAGAAGGTAAGAAAACAGTGAGACCACTCCCGTGGGTCCGCACAAACTCCGAAATGTGTCCACACATATACATACCCGGTACATGCGCGTACAACATTGACAATATGTTTGTAAACTGAGGGAGATTCATGCCCCACGATTAAAAGGGTACCACACACAAAACGCCCGACCAGTACCTTACACATTTCCTCTACACCTTCCCAACATAACATATATGAGACACACAAGACAGCTACCAAACTGTCTTGTTGAGCCTGTTTCCCGCAGGGGAGATGTCCCTATATGCTGTCTGGGAAACCGTAGACATACAGGTACTTTCTGACGCTATGAATTCATTGCTAATCTGTCTTAGACTCTTTTCTATGATAGAGATGGATTCGTAGTGTCATATAAAGAAATAAACAAAAAAAACTTTGTAGGCCGTTGTTGTTGTTGTTGTTGTCGTCGTCCCTGTTTTCAAAAACGCGCTGTTCGATGTTTCAGCCTCCGGCTCTTTCGCGAGGAGGGAGACCAAGGCACACAAGGTGTTGCGCGCCGTGTCTCGCGCCCAGCGCGCAGCGCGGCCTCGACGGTGGCGCAGTGTGCGTGAGGAGGTGGCGGCGCAACCGGCTGCGGTACACAAAGAATAGGTCAAATCGTTTTGTTTTGGGGGCTGCTGCTGTGTGCAGCTGCTGTGGTCTGTCTGTTATAGAAACCTCACGGCTACCAATCAATCCAGTGCTTTTTCCTTTCGCGTCGAGGGAGACCGAGGCACAAAAGACACTGCCCGCCGCGTCTCGCGCCCAGCGCGGCCGC